TTGCTGAATGGCCTATTGCCAGTTTCCAGGTACAGGGTTCAGGTTCCTGGCCAATAGTCAGGTTCCAGAGGTTGGTTCTATATTATAGTTAAAAGACCGTATACTTGTTCCTGAGCAACATTTCTCTCTTTTAACTTTCATTAAACGAGTGCTTGGACAGTGACTAGAGCAGAAGACAAGGGCTCACTAAACTTCTACGTAGGTGGGTATTTACCATTCAGTGCTTATTTGGGGGGCTTCCCTGTGGTGCAGTTGTAAAGAATACACCTGCCATTGCAGAAGATGCAAGAGATGGAAGTTCGATCCTTAGGTGGGGAAGATCCCCTGGAGAAGGAAATGGTAGCCCACTCTGTTATTCTTGCCTGAGAAATCCCATGGACAGAGGAGCCTGATGGGCTACAGTTCATGGGGCCGCAAAGAGTTGGACATGATTGAGGACTGAGCATACATGCACACTTATTATAATATATGATTGAAAATTGATCACAATATTTTCAGAAGTGCAAATAATCCTTATATCTCAGAGTGCATTTCCTCTACTTTCAGTTAGGAGACCTCCCAATGTAGACCTGTATGAATGGTCCTTGACTTAAGATAATTTGACTTTAATGATTTTTTGACTTTACAATGGTGTGGAAGCCATATGCATTCAGTATAAACCATAATTTTAATTCTGAATTTTGATCTTTTCCTTGGCTAGCAATATGCAGCATGATGTTGTCTCATGATGCTGGGCAGCTGCCTTGAGCCGCAGCTCCCATTCAACCATGTAATCATGAGGGTTAACAGTTGGTGGCCTTAAACCATTCCATACCCAGACCAACATTCTGTTTTTCTCTTTCAGTACAGTATTCAATAAATTATTTAAGATATTCAACACTATTATAAAGTAGGCTTTGTGTTAGATGATTTTGCACACCTGTAGGCTATTTTAAGTATTCTGTGCATATGCAAGGTAGACTAGGCTAAGCAATGATGTGTAGTAGGTTAAGTGTATTAAATGCATTCAAAAATCTTTTTAAAAATTATTTTCTGGCCACACCATGTAGCATGAGGGGATCTTTGTTCCCCAACCAGGAATTGAACTTGTGTAGTGGAAGCAGAGTCTCAACCACTGGACTGCAAGGGAAGTCCGTAAACGCGTTTTTGACTTGTAATATTTTCATTTTACAGTGGATTCATGGAGACTTAAGTTGACAAATCATTATAAGTTGAGGAAAATCTATATATGTTAAATGTAAATTTTTTCCTCATCACAGAACTCTGTAATATTGCTCTATGTCCATGAATATTATACTGCAAGCCACAGAAAGTTATCAATCATTATTTCTTAATGTTATTGAAAGTTATCAAAACCTTATTTCCTAATGTTTCAAGATTCATTTCTTCATTTCAAGAAATTCATTTGGTTTAAAATATTTTCATTTTGGAAGTGTTTCTCACTCCTCATTTAAATCATTGTAGAGACAGACTCAGACCGTCAAGGGAACAGACTTAGGAGATAGTATTTGAAAAAAAATTTTCCATGTAAGTTGTATTCCACTTTGTCAATAATACATAATTTCTAAATTAATAGTTTTCTGATTATTTTTAAAACTATATGTCTTTAACATAATGAGCTATACCATTCTCTAATTCCCAGTTAGTTTTTGATGCATAGCAAGTTTGGTTGTTAGTCCTGTATTATTCATATTAACTATTTATAGAGAAACATTTAAAAATTACATGTGTGCTTTTCAATTGTTTATAGAAATATCCACGTTGAATGTATGAAAATTAAATGGAAATTAAAGGCTAATTTAATGAATAGTCATATAAGGTTTAATTGCTTATGGATGTAATAGTTTTAGTAAGAATGTATAGTTAGTGGGCAAATTGGTGAAGTGCTTTTTTTGTTTTTAGGTATACACATGAGCTTTTCAGTTTAACACATTTACCATGGATATAAATTTGAATTATATTTTTCCCATAAAACTTATTTGTATAGCAGTTAAACATCTTTCAGGAAGTTAAAATTGATTGCAAAGGCCCAGTAAGATCAGTCTGTGTTACAAAGTGGATCTGTTTGTTGATTTAATATCAAGTCATAATCTCTTTCCTATTCCTTCTTCACACATTGGAAGATGTGTGACCCAACTTCCATTAGATAAGATTTTTAAATGTTTTATCATACTATTCTGAACTCCCTTCTGACTAATGAGATGAGATATCTCATTAGTGAACTTTGTTCATTGGCTCCATTTCCTAATCAGTTTATCAATCTGTGGCTAATTTAATATTATTTTTAGAACATGTTGAATCCTATTGTAGCTTACTCCTTACATCCAATTTTGGACACACTCTTCCTATCATTATCTACTATCAAGGGAATGGAATATAATTTCATATTAACCTACAGTAAATTAACTCATCAGAGAATCTTTTGGAGGAAAAAACATACTCTATAGCCCTGAAGAAATAGTTCAATCAGTAGTAGAAAGCACAATCCTTAGAGCACATAGAAACCCTTGGCCAACTAATCTAATGTGAAATGATATATATAAATAGATGTAAAATGCCTCTGAAGAACAGATACTAGGTACGAGTAAGGTATAATTTGCACTATCTTTGTCACATTTTTGTCACTATCTTTGTTTCCTTTGGTAGAGATGACTGAATTTTTAAAAATTATCCAAGCCTTTTAATCACATTGGTATATTGCTCTCAAAATACATTTAACAAAGGTATCTTTGAAATGATTCTTTAATTGGGTTCAATTATATGGGTTTCTAATCTCTTTAATTTAACAAGATTAAAATATTAAATCTTAATGCTTTCCAAGATTGCTGATTAAATTTTATCTCTGACAAAAATGTATATTCTAAGTTAAAGCTTTGACTTCTCTTACTCAAGCTATTTGTTGAAATTTATTATATATTCTATTAAAAAGGTAGGAAGAATATTGGCTGCTATACCTACTATGTTCTAGAAACTCTCCTAGGTATTTACATATAATATCTCATTTGATTCTTCCAACTACTCTTAGAGAATGATTTCCATTTATTTCCTTCATTTACAGATGGAGAAAAGAGAACTCAGCATTAAATAATTCCCAAGGGTAAACTAGTTTGTAGTAGAGTGAATATTCAAATCCATCTCAGTTTGGCTCAAAAACCCATATGTTTTTCAGTATACTACCTTTTCTCTTGAGTATAAAGATAAGAAACAAATTATTTTCCAGAGTCCACTTGGACTGAACTAAATTTACCAAATTTAGAAATATACCCCTGGTAAGATTTTACCTGTGAAAAGATAAAGAGCTTAGGAGAATTAACTTTTAGCTTGAAGAATCAGAATTGAAAAATTTACAGCCTTTTTTTCTCAAGCTTTCTGTGGTCCTCTTACCTTGGAATTCAAGTTAAAAACAACTTAAAGCATTTTTGAGTGCTTGTGTACAAAGCGCTGTATTAAGATATCACCCTTTATATAACAGGTTCTATCCCCTCTAAGATGGGTTTTGAGTCCTGTAATCCTGGACTTCATCTACTTTTTGAAATGTTTTTGTCACTTCTAATCAAATTTTAGAAGTACAACCTTCTTGGCAAATCCTAAACTGTATCCATGTAAGAGTGACTAAAATAATACAAAAATACATACATACTTAACACACATACTAAGAAAATAAACAGTTGAGACAGTATAAAGTAATAATAAGTTAAAAAATGACAGCAGTATCCACAAATAATCTGGATAAAGATGGAGTAATGTGAGGTACTCATCAGTTTGATACAATGTTATGTGATGGTCTTATGAGATTAGGGTTTGAAGAGGTAGTCATCTTCCTTACCAATGGCAATCCCATAAATTTGGCCACTATACCAAAAAAAGTTCAGGGGCAATAATTATATAGATTAAAATACAAAAGCAAAGAGTTTCTTGGTTCAGCAGATACTCCTTAACATAACTTACACAATTTTACCTTTTTACGAATCTTTCAGAACACAGAGTAGATTTTATGTAGTACTCAGAAGAATCAATGTAGAGTGGTGAAAAAATATTAGTCTGGGCTGGTATCAGGAAGCTGGGGTGGTCTAGTACCACCTCTACCCTTAGACTATGTGATTCAGCTACATTTGGGGGCTTTTCATTCAACTAAAAAGTGAATTCATCAGTCATTCTTAAAGAGTGCTTCTGGCTCAGAAACGTCTTGATTCTAAGGGCTCTTGATAGGAAACCCATGAATACATTCAGGAAAGAAGGAGGTTATAGGTGTTAAGAAAGCTAGCATGGTTGACAACAAGAGTCATTGTGTAAACTGTGTGGCCAGCAATAAAGATAAAGGAATGCATCCCCAGCTAGACTTAAAGAGTAAAAAGGTTATTAAATGACTAGAACAGTTTTTGACCTAGGCCCTCAGATAATGCAGGGCTATATAAAATATACATGCATACACAGACTGGTAATTTGATTGATAAATCTGTATATGCTTAATTTTAATCAAAATATCACAATGTATCAATATTTTAAAGGAATCAATTTAAAGAAAATACATAAAAGTCATATTTAATAGGAAATCATATATTTGAAACTAAAAATTCCATTAAGTGAAAACTGCAGACTCCCTCTCCAAAATGTAGCATTAGACTTGAAATTTTACCCACAAATTTTATATGAAATATATATCTAGTTCCTAAATAGCTTTCCTCAAAACCCTAAGCATAAAAAATGCCTAGTAAATAAGCTGGAATCCCAAATTAAGTTTATCTTCAATGAATAAGCTCTGTATTATAAATATAGTAAGATTTAAAATTTTTAAGTTACTATGTATATTTACCAGAAACAGTGTAAGTAAACACTATTGACATATACCTATATTTAGCCTGAAAACTAATTTAAAAGAGAAAAATTCAATCAACTGAAATTTTTGATCCATATTTTCTTCAAAAATTGTCATACTACAGTTTATGCTGAATAAAATTAATTTTTTGCTTTGCTGAATCAGCACATTCCTTTTGCAGATTCAACATTACATAGCTTTTTATAAATTCAGCTGAATATCAGAAGCTTTATGCAGAACTGCCTTGGAGTAGGCCAGCATCTAAAAGTTTTCCCTGCAAAAACTGAATCTCATCTGAACATTTACTCACTTAAAAAAAAAATCTTTATTATCATCCTGAAGAAACTCTTACAGCCTTTGAATTTGAAAATAATGACAAAGTGAAGACTCTAAAGGGACAATGAAAAGAATGCATCAGTCTTGCTCAGTTCAAGGTGAGTCATATAATGATCTGCAGATAGTCTTTGAGAGAAAAGTATTTAGTATAAATCTATGTTTAAAAGTAATTTTTAATTCCACGATAAAGTTCATATGTCAGCTGTTATATTAAATTGCCCAGAAGATGTGTGCATTCAGTTCAATCTAATACTAATAACTAAGGAGTAGGTTGGTATGCCAACATAAATCTAAAGGGTTTGGTAACTTTCATTTTAAATGACACAAATTACTAAAATAAATTAATTGGATCAATGAAAAAGAGAGGTAAAAGAATTATTTTAAAATATAAACTAAAAGAAGATCCAAATATTCTTTAACCTAAAAAGGTTTTCAGTCCTAATAGGCATGACAAAACCTGTCTTCATTCCTTTCTATTCAGCTCAGCAAGTGCTTTTGAGCTCCAATAGTTAATCAGTTACCAGATTCCACAATCTTTGTTTTTCGCACTCCTCACTTCTTGCTGTGAATTGTTCTGTTAATGTGCTGAGGATCACCAAGAAGAATAGCACTGTTGTGTTTTTTTTTTTTTAATGCCTTAAAAAGGCAATTATTCTTTTATCCACAATTAGATTTGCCATATAAAATGTTACCATATAGCAACAGCCTGTAAAACATAATAGTATATTATCAAAGGAGTAGATGGCTTAAGATGAATCATTACATTAAAAGATGAAATATATTTAGCAAAATTATTCAACCCAGCTTTCTTAATGACCATAACCATGCATGACTTACCAAAAGAGTATAGAAAAGTATATTATATGCCAAGTAACCTTTATCCAAACAAATCAATGAAAATGTATGTATGCAAGTACTATGAAACAATATTTAAGCAAATTTATATAAAAGATACAATGCAGGTATTACCATGTTAAAAAGATATCATCTAAAACTTAATTTCTTAGCCTTCTAAAAGTGCATAGAAAATTGAGAAAGATAAAAAAATATATTAACTTACCCTTCAATTTATTTAGAAAACTTCTACTCTTGGTCAAAAGCAGAAGGTGTTTCACTGCGGACTTTCCCTGAAGCTATGAACTTACACAGTAATCAGTGGGAGACACCTCCCTGGACCATGCTAGAGTTTGCTAGACACCACTGCTGTGTGGAAGAGTTGTGTTGCATCTAAGCTATATAAGGTGTGCAGTGGATAACCTAATATGCCTTTCATTTAACTGGCTGGGCAGGTTTCTACCGTCTGTGGAACATGGAATCAAACCAGAATATGTTGGCACAACAGGCCAGTCAGACCGGTTCTTCTGTAGATCCAGAACCCGTCCAACCAGTCTCCATCAAAGGCTAGCCCAACAAGCTGCAGCCCAACAAGCTCAGCTCTGCTAAGCTTGTACAGGTGAGTTATCCCCACCTCCGTCAACTCCCAACATACTGCTCAGAATGTTGTAGCCTGCAGCAAAATAATTCAGAGTTCCAGTGGGAGGGGAAGATCTGTGTCAGGTACAGCAAGAGTCCATTGTTACAAACCTCTCATTGTAGATAACTTGAGTATATCTCATCCTCCGAGGTAGGTAAATCTTTTTAAAAATTTACTTCAAGGCTCTTCGGACTAAAGCCTCTAGAAAGAGATTACAATGAAGAAGAATCCATAATGCCTGACCTTTCCACCAGTCCACTTGGTCTAGCTCAGCCTTGAGGGGGTGTTTATATTCTCCAAGAGGGCAGTGGCCCTGAGAGTTCGAAGGAAGCTTTTCTAGAGGGAGGAAAACAAGGTGTGGGTGGACCAAACATTTGCTTGGGTGTGTTATCTTCCTTGTACTCAAAGATCCTCATACCATTCCAGTCTAAAATTGGAAAAACTCCTATTCTACATACTAGGACAACTTAGAGAGGTTTTATTTTGGATAGTCAACAGCTGAATGAAAATTCTTGATAACTACTATGTGCCAGACTGTGCCAGGTACAGGGTTACAAGGGCGAAAAAAGGACAAATTTGGTAAGAGATGGGGAGAATGTCCAGGTTCACAGTTAAGCTTGTCTATTAGTCTTTTTGATGGAGGAAGTGAGCAACACTCACTTCCAAGATCACAAGATCAGGTGTTTTTTAACTTTTCATGGGCTTCCCCAGTGGCTCAGTGGTAAATCTGCTTGCAATGCAGAAGACGTGGGTTCAATCCCTGGGTCTGGAAGATTCCCTAGAAAGGGAAATGGGAATCAACTCTAATATTCTTCCCGGGAAATTTCATGGACAGAGGAGCCTGGTGGGCTACAGTCCATGGGATCACAAAGAATCAGACACAACTTAATGACTAAACAATAACAACATAACCAATCAACAATGTGATAGTTTCAGGTGGACAGCACCTGACTCAATCCTACATATACATGTATCCATTCTCCCCCAAACTCCCCTCCTATCCAAGCGGCCACAAAATGTTGAGCAGAATTCCCTGTGATATACAGTAGTCCACTTGGTCTAGTTATCCATTTTAAATACAGCAGTGTGTACATGTCCATCCCAAACTCCCTAGCTATCCCATCCCCCCACTCTTCCACCCTGGTAACTGTAAGTTTGTTCTGAGTCTGTTTCTATTTTGTAATTAAGTTCATTTGTACACGAGATCACATTTTGACAGAAATTGGTTTGTATTAAGGGAGACCATGTGAGATTTGTTCTTACTCTTTCATAATACTTGCACATTTAGAAACAGTCTTTCCTATCTACTGATGGAGTGAGTCTACAACATTCCTGCTAAAGTATAATCTGAAGTTTATACTGGACTTTACCACCACTTACTTACGTCTTCTCTGGTGGCTCAGACAGTAAAGAATTTGCTTGTGATGCAGGAGACCTGGGTTTGATTCCTGGGTTGAGAAGATCCCCTGGAGAAGGGAATGACAACTTACTCTAGTATTCTTGCCTGGAGAATCCCATGGACAGAGGATCCTGGCAGGCTACAGCCTATGGGGTTGCAAAGAATGGAACACGACTGAGCAACTAACACTTACTTACACCTCCAGGGATTCTGATGAGTAGAGATTTACCAAAGTACTTACAGTGATCCTGCTGCAGTTGTTGCGGGGACACAGGCTCAGCCTCCATTGCTCAGCTTCTTTATATTGTTGTACCTAATTAAATAGACTAGATATTAATCACAAGTTGCCATATTCATCTTTATATTTCTGGTGTCTAGCACAGATGCTTAGAAAATGTTTAATAAATGCTTATTGAGTAAATATGTACTCAGGGGCAACATTGCTAGATCCTAGGGGGAATCACAATTAGTGTTGTGTGAATCAAGCTTTATTAAGTAGAATAATTAGAATAATTGAGATAGGAACAAAGAAAAGGGAGCCAGTGTGACTGAGTATGGGAAAGACTTCACAAAGGAGATTGGTTTAGAGACTTTCCTTTTTAATCTTGACCAAAGATTGCTATCTGCAGGATAACCAAAGCTTGAAGGAACAATAAAAAGAATGCCTTTGATATAGCAACAAAAGTTGTAGGTACCTGAGTACACCATGACCTCAAAACTTAGTAATAAGGTTATTTTCTGTTGCAGGGGTCAGCAAATTTTTCCATAAAGGATTAGAGATGAAATATTTTGGGGTTTGTGGGACAGATTGTGTCTGTTTTAGCTATTCAAATCTGACATTGTAGCTCAAAAGCAGATATAAAGGGTAGTCAATGAATGAGGATTGCTGTGTTCCAATAAAATTTTATAAACAAATAACAGGTTGGATCTGACCCCTGCTCTAGAGAGTAACTTGTGAAAATTAGCAAGATTGCATAATTGGTTAGGAAAATAAGCTTGTAAGTCAAAAAGACTTGGATTCCATCCCAGTTCTTTTCCATATTAGCTTTGTCACTTAAACCAGGAAACTCTTTTATTTATAATATGTGAATCAAAGTGGCAGTAACTAGCCCTTAGGGTTACTGTGAAGTTCAAATAATATAATTCACATGAGGCTTTATCCAGAAATTTAGTACACAGTGTGTGAATGCACGTGTGTGTGCTCAGTTATGTCCAACTCTTTGCTTAGTATACAGTGAGGGTCCAATAAAAGTCAGTTAAAAATAAGACTAGTTAAACATGGTAGTTGAACATGGATGTTTATTTTCATTATTTCATAAAATTTGATAAAATGATAGTAAAGAATCAAAACAGCCTGAACTCAGACTACCCTGGTGGTGCAATGGATAAGTATCTTCCAGCCAATGCAGGGGACACAGGTTTGAGCCCTGGTCTGGGAATATTCGACATGCCACAGAGAAACCAGCCCATGCACCACAACTACTGAAGCCCCTGTGCCTAGACCCTGTGCTCCGCAATAAGAGAAGCCACCGCAATGAGAAGCCCACATGCTGCAATGAAGAGTAGCCCCTGCTAGCCTCAACTAGAGAAAGCCTGTGCAAATATCCCAACAGAGAAAGACCCAGTGCAGTGGAAAAAGCAGCATGAACTCTTAAGGATCAAGAAGAATGAGAGAAGTAACAGGCAAGAAGTGTCCGTAAATTTTGAAAGAAGAAATGAAGATGAGTGGTCATTGATATAGCAGGATAGAGAAAGGGGAAGTCTACTTGCAATAATAAAAGCAAGTCTGTCTCCTCTGCAAAATCTTGGAAACCTTCAGGAATTGGAGGTACAGGTACTTCTAAACAGTTTGGGGGTATAGGTTGGGGGGGGGTACACTCGAAATGGAGGATTAGTTGAAAATATACTTAAAGTTTGCTCCCTAGATCCCTTCCCCAGCCCAGAAGCCTGGAGACTGCCCCTCTTCAACCTTGACGAGCAATAGGTGGCATTTGTTGAATCATGCTGGAAGAGATTGTCTCGGGTTGGTTTTGGACTTGAGAATAGCAAACAGAGCTGAGGGTGAATGGTAATGAGATTGTATCTGTTTCCTATGACTGCTGTAGCAAATTGCCAGAAATTCAGTGGTTTAAATGAACCCAAATTTATTATCTTACAATGCTGGGGATTGAAGTCCACAATGGGTCTCACTGGGTTGAAGTCAGCAGGGTTGACATTCTAAGGTATAGTGAATCAGCAAGGTTGAGTTCTTTCCTGGAGGCTCCAGGGGAGAATCTGTTTTCTTGTCTTCTCCAACTCCTAAAGGATGCCTGTGCTTTTGGTTCATGGCCTTTTTCTATCTTCAAAGTTAGCAATGGCCAGTCCAGTCTTTCTTACATTGCATCATTCTGACATTTGTTCTGCTGCCTTCCTCTTTCATATTTAAAGCCAATTGTATATTCTGGTGTAATCTCCCCATTATAAGGTAAACTGATTATAAATCTTTATTTTATCTGTAATCTTAATTCCCCTTTACTTTGTGATAGAACATATTCACAGGTTCCAGGATGAGGATGTGGATATCTTTGAGAGACCATTTTTCTGCCTCCCTTAGAGATTAGGTCAAAGTTTCTCTATTGAGTGGTGAGATGCCCAGATCCATTCCTCTTCTTGGCTTCTGAATACTGATGACCAGGTTCATGTTCCTCACTCCAAAAGCAGAAAACTGGAGAATTTCCCTCCAAAAATAAAAACTCTCATCGCTCTAAGGCAGGGGTTATTAACCAGGGATGATCTTGCCCCCAGGTGCCATTTGGCAATATCTGGAGAAATTTGTTATTGTCAACAGGGGAAATAGGGGAGGCGTATGGTACTGGCATCTATCAGATGGGGGCCAGGGATGCTACTAAACATCTTACAATTCACAGGACAGCATATCTTTCACCTCCCTCACTATCTCCTCACATGATTATCTGATCCAAAAGGTCAGTGGTGCCAAAGGTGAGAAACTCTACTCTAATGTTAAGCCTAGCAGTCAACACCACCCTAATGTAAACAAGTAAGTCCTGCCTTGGCACACAAATTTGCAAATCAGCATTTTTGTGCCTCATTATAAAATATAGACAGTATCTAACATGAAGGAGACAAAAAGAAACCTGTAGATGAAAGGAACTTACAGAAAATAGTCAGTGTAGGGAATAGAATAGTAATAATTTTAAATATCTACTATATTAATTTCTTCAAAGAAATAAGAGGAGATACTGATTGCATGAAATAAGAACAGAATCTTATCTAAAAGTAGAACTTCTGGAGGATAAAAAAGAGATATTGGATGACCTAGAGGAGTCAGTTGATGGGGTGGGAGGGAGACTCACGAAGGAGGGGATATATAAACATAGCTGGTTCACATTGTTGTACAACAGAAACTAACACAACATTGTAAAGCAATTATGATCCAAGTTAAAAAAAATAGACTGCTAAAAAAGAAGAGAGATACTGGAAAGTAAAAATATGATGGCAGTTGAAAGATACAGTTAAGGAAATCTACCAGAAAGTAAAATTAAGAAAGTACTGAAAGATGGGTCACAAAATAAGAATAAATTGGAAAAGATGAAAATATGGAATCTGGAAGTAACTCCATTTCTTCTCTTAACTTAAAGTTCAACATGGCCAACCACCAGTTCTAAGACAACAGCACACTAGTAAGTTTGAAGTGTGAAGAATCCATGACTTTTACTTCAAATTCACATTGCCTATGATTGAGGGAAGAAAAGGGAAGGGGGCCAGAGGAAGAAAGACAGAGAGAGAGAGGGAGGGAGAAGAGGAGAGAAAGAGATCTGAGGATTAGTGTTCGGTTATAGATTTAAATGTAAAAGATTTTCTTAAATGCAAGTAGTCACTTACTTTACACTTTACGAAGGGTTAATATTCACAGATCATAAAATGAGGAAAGCAGATGAACTGGTACAAGTACAAACCTGCACCTGTAGAAAAAGTTTGCACAAACATTCATATCTGCCAATATTCATAAGTAAAGGTTTGCAGCATACTATCCAACAGCTAGTAAAACCTGATCACAGTGAAATTAAAAGCATGTTTTACCTGTATAGGCCAAATCAGGAAACCGATTTTGAAACTTGCCTCAATTGTCCTTAGAGTATGGAAACATGGGTCAGTTATTTACTTCACATCCTGAGCCTCGATTGCTTCATTTATGAAAAGAGCAAGTTTGGTTGGATATATTCTAGATATCTATTCAACTCAACACTTTTATTCTAAAGTTCTTTGGGGCAAGTGAACAATTCAAAAAATGTGAGAGCAAGATAGACCAATCAAGGAGACATTTTATAGAAGAGCAATTTAAAAATGCAATTTAATTTTAGGATGTATTCTCTAAAGGTTGACACTGAAATATGTATTCACGTACAAGTGATTTATTAGAAATGTGCTCCGATATGAAACTAGTTAGGGAGATAGGAAGGCAGGACCAGAAAGGAGAATAAGAAAAGCATGGGTATGATTTCAGCATCAGCCTGGTCCCAGGGGATTCTGGAACATAAATTGTAAAGAAAGAGTTTATCCCACCTAGAGGCAAAGGAACAGGCTTTCATACCCCTGAACCAGTCACTGGGTCCTGGCTGCTCCAGAAATTTGTAGGCTTCCAGGAACTTTCATTTCTGCATGAGAAGTGGTTCTAGTAACCTGAGAATATTCCTTTGAAGAAGGTTGTAGGTGCTATAACATTAAAAGTAAAGGATTAAGATTTCTGCTTCCAACCAAGATGGAGTTACAGGAATCAGATTTACCCTTACCACCTAAAAAAAAAAAGTAAAATGTATAACACAATGGTTTTCAAGACATTGTACATCAGTCAACAGAGAACAGCTATCTCTAGAGAGACAGTAAACAAACAAGTCCCACAATCACTCCAGCTCAAAGAATAACTCAAAAGGAAACTTATAAAATCATAAAGCAAATGAAAATGGAAACAGAGAACACCAAAATTTACAGGATGTGGCAAAAGGAGTTCTACGGGGGAAGTTTATAGGGACCAACACTTATATTAAGGAAAAAGAAAAAGCTCAAATAAAACAACCTAACTTTATATATTAAGGAACTATAAAAAGCCCAAAGTTAACAAAAGGAAGAAAATAACAAATATCAAAGCAGAAATAAAGAAAATAGAAACTAAAAGAGCAATATAAAACATCAATGAAACTAAGAGCTGTTTTTTCTAAAGATTAGAACAATTGACTGACCCTTAGCTAGACTAAGAAAAGAAGAGACCACTCAAAATCAGAAATGAAAAAGGAAACATTAAAACTAACAAATACTAAGGATCATTAAGAAACTACTATGGAACTTCCCTGGTGGTCCAGTAGTTAAGAATCCACCTTGCAATTCAGGGTACACTGGTTTGATCCCTGGTCCAGGAAGATCCCACATTGCCTGGAGAAGGAAATGGCAACCCACTCCAGTATTCTTGCCTTTAGAATCCCATGGACAGAGGAGCATGACCTGCTGCAGTCCCCTGGTCCAGGAAGATCCCACATTGCCTGGAGAAGGAAATGGCAACCCACTCCAGTATTCTTGCCTTTAGAATCCCATGGACAGAGGAGCGTGACCTGCTGCAGTCCACTGGGTCACAAAGAGGCGATCACGACGTAGCAACTGAACAACAACAACAATAAAGTGTCAGTCCTCCAACTTTGTTCTCCTTCGATGTTGTATTGGGACTATAGCTTTTTTCATAATAATAACTAATATTTTAGGATGTTTGTCACTTCTAAGCAATTTTGTATAGTAACTCAGTAATTACCGTAAAACATTTTAAGTTAGTCATTATTTGGAATGCCTCACTGGTGGCTCAGATAGTAAAGAATCTGCCTGCAATGCAGGAGACCTGGGTTTGATCTCTGGATCGGGAAGATCCCCTGGAGAAGCGAATGGCAACCCACTCCAGTATTCTTGCCTGGGAAACCTGGCAGGCTACAGTCCACGGGCTCACAAAGAGTCAGACACAACTGAACTGACTTAGCACACAAGCATGTTACTTAGAGTGAGGAAATAGAAAAATTTTGGCAGCTTATCACTAGAACGCGTGTGTTTAATCATTACATTTTACTGCCTTAGAGGTGAACTAGATTTTGGTCCTCAAATTGATTTTTATATTATTTAGCTACTTTTATTTATATTTGTTATTGTTAAGGAGATAATTACTTTTAAAGTTCCTTTCAATAACATACCTTCTTTTTTTCTGCCACTCAATGAGTAGGAAAGAAAGGTTTTATATTCACCCCCTTCCAAAAAAAAAAGTCTCTTCTGCTTACATGCTATTTATTCTGTGTTAATATTTCCCAAACATATTTGACCTCAGAATATTTTTTTTTTATAGCATACTATCATACTTGTTAACCTCCTACCCACCACTGTGTGAAGTAGTCTTTGGGACACTGGTTTGGAAAAATTAGACAGTATCATTACTCATTGTATTGCTGTAAATTCAAATATTCTCCCTGGAATAGCAGCAGGCATGATTTAAATCTCCCATGATTACCTACCTGGTTTTGCTGTTTATTTTTCATGGCCCTAAGATTTTACAAATCTTAGTTAAAATTCTTTTGTTATAAGTGAAACTAACTAGAGATACTTTAAGCCAAAAAAAAAAGCAGAGATTTATTTTGAGGTTATAAAGGTATCCTAAGAAGAATAAAGAAACGTAGGTATTTCAAAAGCAGGGAGTCAGTCTGGTCAAATGAGGAATTTGAACCAGGAAATAGAAAGTCTCATGACTCTCATTTTCTCCCTCTTTAGAGCACATGATCTTTCATTTCTTCACTTATCTGCTTCATTTTTCTTTCTTCGCAGATCCAAATGTCAGCTAGAGTATCCCAGGATCTGAGATTTAGATATTGTTGGCGTTAACCACATTCCGCACCAGTGGAGACTCTGGAGGCCTCCTATGTGACTTCTACAGATTTCTGAGTGAGGGGCAGTGAGATAAGGGGCTGGGGAATGTCAGACTGATGCTCTCCTGGTCACCCCTGGCTCTGGGCCCCTGTTTCCACATGTCATAGACTCGTTGAAGACTGGGGGGTGGCTTACATCACAGCAATATCATCAGTACTGTTTGCCAAGAATACCTACCCTGAACCACTCCTGAAGAAATTTCCTTTGGCCCTTCACTCACCATAGTCCTTCCACTTCAAACTTCCCCTGCTGAATTCTTTCTCCATCTCTTTTCAGGAGGGAGTAATTTTTTTCTGATGTCAGGCTGAGTAGCTTTACTATTTCCTTTGTTTCTGTCTCTTCTGATACTTATACCCTCAGGGTTCTTAAAAAATATTTATTTGTCTGTGTCGGGTCCCAGCTGCAGCCGACACATTGCGTCATGCAGGATCTCTGGTTGTGGATTGTCTAGTTGTGGCGTGTGGGTTCCAGAGTTGCGGTGTATGGGCTTGGTTGCTCTGGGGGCACATGGCATCTTAGTGCACCAACCAGGGATCTCCCACACTACAAAGTGGACTCTTAACCAGTGGACGACCAGGGGAGTCTCAGGGTTTTATGCTCTATCCTAAACTACTCAAACAAAGACACATCCCTGTATGGTTTTATTAGCTTGCTAGGATGAGATGGTGAGAGAGCATCATTGACTCAATGGACATGAGTCTGAGCAAACTCCAGGAGATAGTGAAGAACAGGGGAGCCTGGTGGGTTACAGTCCATGGGGTCACAAAGAGTTGGATACAGCTTAGCGGCTGAACAACAAGGACTGCCATAATAGATAGCACAGACTAGGTGAGTTAAAAAACAGACATTTCTATTCTCAGTCTGTAGGCTAGAACTCTAAAATCAAGGTGCTAGCAGGCTTGGTTTCTTCTGGGGGCCATGAGGGAAGAATCTATTCCAGGACTCTCTCCTTTGCTTGTAGGTGGATATCTTCTCCCCACACCTTCCTTTTTATGTATCTCTTTCCATAGTTCGTGGTTTTATGAGGACACCTATCATATTGGATTAGGGCCCACCCTAATGACTTCATTTTAACTTAGCTGCTTTTTTAAAGATATGTCTCCAAATATAGTTACATTCTGAGGTACGGAGAATTATGATTTCAACACACGAATTTGAACAGGGGTGGGGGACACATAAATCAGCTCATAGCACTGGTATTTGTCTCTAAAATAGTGTAAGTTCTACCTTTGTTACTTTTGCTTCTTAGTGTTTATTGGGGAAAAAAAATCCTGCCTATAGCAAGTCAGTTTAAGCAACAGCTTTATCTGATTAGAATTGGGTTCCAATTCCAAATTCCAAGAATCAGATTGACAGAATCGAGATTATGAACATATCCACCTGTGATCAGTCAGCATTGACCAGCATGAGATTTATTTAGTACAAATCAGGTTGATGGGGCCCATCGTGGTTGACCAGAGACCATTTCCAGTGAAATGAGAATAGTTAGGAGTTAGTCAGTCACCTTAAGCTTTACCTACCATTAAACTAGTCAATCCTAGAGGAAATCAACCCTGGATATTCATTGAAAGGACTGACGCTGAAGCTGAAGCTCCAATACTTTAGCCACCTGATGTGAAGAGCTGACATATTGGAAAAGACTATGATGCTGGGAAAGATTGAAGGCAAGGGGGACTTCCCTGGTGGTCAAAAATCTGCCTTCCAATGCAGGGGGTGTGGGTTCTATCTCTGATTGGGAAGCTAAGATTTCACATGCCTTGCAGCCAAAAAACCAAAACGCGGAACAGAAGCAATATTGTAACACATTCAATAAAGTCTTAAAAATTAAAAAAAAACAACAAGATATAAGAGATGTGAAAACCTTGCCTACCTGAATGACTGTGGTTTGTGGCAAAGACTGAAGGCAAAAGGAGAAGGAGGTAGCAGAGGATAAAATGTTTAGATAGCATCATGGATTTAATGGACGTGAATTTGAGGAAACTCCAGGAGAGAGTGGAGGAGAGAGGAACCTGGTGTGCTTCTGTCCATGGTGTTGCAGAGTCAGACATGATTTAGAGACTGAACAACAACAAAACCATTAAAAACCAGCATAAATAGTGTAAATTAAAATGTACTTAGAATTGAAAAGGGCAATATTGTATATGTTCCAATTTTTATGACTAAAACTAACTTAAATAATAGAATAAATCCTCGAGAATTTATTAGTGAGAACATTTTATGATTGATCAAGACTTAAAAGAGAAAGAATGTGAACTTGGTATTTTATATCTGTATTTAATGTTGATATAATTGGTGTACTTAAACTTCTAATGTGAAGTCATGGAAGTACAAAGCGAAATGAACTTACGGCTAAATATTGCAACTTGCTTTGTGCAAAATTACCTAAGTACTACATAGGTGCTAATGAATTCTCCAACGTGAGGAGACATGAAATGAAAATTGCATCACTCTGGTTCTAAATGCTGCTGTAAGCAGTGATTTTTTTTTTCCACCCATAGTTTTTACCTTTAAATTGTTACCTTGCGCCAAATTAAGAGATATGAATTTGCAAATAGCTTCACTTTACGTGCCAGCAGTAATTACTAGACTCACCAAGGAAAGGTAACCTCAACCACCTTTACAAAAGTTCATATATCATATATATATATTTTTTTACTTCATGCCTGTGTATTTTTTGCTGTGACACTTATTAGAAAGAGATTTCCAGCGTCTGAGAGTGTAATGACCAAGTGTCTTTAGTGCCAGAGAAGTTATAATTAGCTTGGAAACATGGCTGGAGGTAACATTTTCTAAGTAGCACCATGCTTTTATTTCTGGCCTAGAAGGCAGTGGCAAACTTCTGTCTTCCTACCACTCCAGGTCTTTCCTCCTTGGCGTTATAGTGTAGTTGAGAAAGGCTTGGGTTCAAATCCCTGTTCAACCCTGTGTAGTTGTTAAATTCTTAGGTAAATTACTGGGCTTCTGAGATTAGTCACATCATCCATGAAGAGGGATAATAAGATTATTAAAAGGATTAGATGGGATATTTGCAATGTGTTTAGCAAGAGTCTGGCATGAGGTCAGTGTTTTAAAAGTAGTAGCAAGAGTTACAAATAATGCTAATTATTATTTTCAGTGCTAGGCCTGGGGAAACAAAGATGCTTGAAGCACAGTCCCTGTCTTAAAGGAACACAGACCAACAGAGTTTGAGACTCTGAAAGTATCACTGTAAATGTATATCTTTATATAGGGAAGGTGTTTGGTACTTGACAGTTGGTTCTTAGTTTTTCCATTAAGGCTACATGATTATTTTTTAAAGCACCTGTAAGTAAAATTTATTCTTATCTTTAGATTTTAAGAACTTTATCCCCAGAGCAGATTATTATAAATGACTTTTTTAGAGCTATAGGTGTTGTCCTTCTTTGCCCTGTTCTGAGATCTGTCCCAGCCGCACAGTCTATCAGGCTCTTTCCTAGGTACCAAGGACAGGATGGCCAGGTGGGTATCAGGATCAAAATAATGAACCATATCAACCTAGAAGATTGGCTCTGGTCCCAGCTTTGGAAGTTGAGCTAGAATGTGAGAAGGAAACTCAGGCAAACTATCCAGAATTGAGGCAAAGAAAAACAGGTGTCAGATTGTTCAGTTGGTACCCAAGGCCAGACTTCCTCCAGGCACCTGGTGGGAAGAGGAAATAGAGAAACTTAGGAACCCAAGGGATCTTGCTGAGACTGAAGCTCCAATACTTCCACCACCTGAGGTGAAGAGCTGACTCATTGGAGAGGACCCTAATTCTGGGAAAGATTGAAGGCAAGAGGAGAAGGGGATGACAGATGATGAGTTGGTTGGATGGTATCACCAACTCAATGGACATGAGTTTGAGCAAGATCTAGGAGATGGTGAAGCACAGGGTGTGCTGCAGTCCATGGTGTCACAAAGAGTCAGACATGATTGAGTGACTGAACAACAACAAAGGATCTTTGAAGGCTTCTAATGAATGTAATGTGGGAGTAGGGTAGGGTAAGAGACGTGGAGAGAATGGTGCTAGCACAGTGGTCTCTAAACCTTTCTGATTGTTGATCTTTGTTGTTGTTGTTCAGCCACTGAGTTGTGCCTGACTCTTTGCGACCGCATGGATTGCAGCATGCCAGACTTCCCTGTCCTTTACCGTCTCCCAGAGCCTGCTCAAGTTCATGGCCATCAAGTTGGTGATGCCCTCCAACCATCTCATCCTCTGTCACCCCCTTCTCCTCTTGCCTTCACTATTTTCCACCATCAGAATCTTATTTATTCATAAACTATATACATGTAGCTGTATTACTAGTAACATCTCAGTGCATAATAAAATTCACTGTTAATGATAATTGGAATTATTTAAATAATTGAAGAAGTAATTTAAAACTTATTTTGGCTGGCTTCTTGCCAGATTTGATTATATTGTTTCTGTTTTTAAATGAAGGTAGGCTGATGAAGAAGAGACTTATCTGCTTCCTTTTGGTTTTGTGTTTGCTTTGTTAGTGTTATCTTCATTTTGCCTTTCCTTTGCCTTTAAAAGCCATCATTTGAGGGTTATGTTTAGTAATCCATAAATGCACTTATTTAGGCATGTGTAGCTGAAATATGGAGAAGGCAATGGCAACCCACTCCTGTCTTGCCTGGAAAATCCCATGGATGGAGGAGCCTGGTAGGCTGCAGTCCATCAGTTCTCAAAGAGTTGAACACGACTGAGCGACTTCACTTTCACTTTTCACTTTCATGCATTGGAGAAGGGAATGGCAACCCACTCCAGTACTCTTGCCTGGAGAATCCCAGGGGCGGGGGAGCCTGGTGGCCTGCCATCTATGGGGTCGCACAGAGTTGGACACAACTGAAGCAACTTAGCAGCAGGAGCAGCAGACAGAAATACATCATGGTATGCTTCAAGCTGGTTTTAGAAAAGGCAGAGGAACCAGAGATCAAATTGCCAGCATCTGCTGGATCATCGAAAAAGCAAGAGAGTTCCAGAAAAACATCTATTTCTGCTTTATTGACTATGCCAAAGCCTTTGACTGTGTGGATCACAATAAACTGTGGAAAATTCTGAAAGAGATGGGACTACCAGACCACATGACCTGCCTCTT